GGGTAGGCTAAGTTCGCTCATGTGATGATATGTTTGTTGACAACCAAAATTTCGCCTTAGTAAATAATCCGTTCTCCTGTTCGGCAGTTTATCTCCTCACGAGGAAAGAGGAAAAACGACTAACTAGTAAACACCCTCATTGTGAAAAAAGTCCACTTAATTTTAGATTTTGATGAAACGTACACTTTTTATTTTTCAATTTTTAATTATCCCAAAAAGGACAATTAAAAACAAGGGAAATAGCTTTGAAAATGATTTTTAACTAGTGTTAAAAATTTTAAGGCAGACTGCTTTTCAACAATCATTAAGTAATTTTTCTTTTTTTATTGCTTAATGGGAAAACTATATACAAATAAAGCTGGTTAAACTTATTAAGCTAGTCTGTTGACCTTTACTTTACATCAAATTTTTTCAGACATGACAGATAGAAACTATTTTGTACACTTCTAAACGAATGAGGGGCAATTACTGAACACAATTATATAATTAACCTTTTAATGTCAAGCCTCATTTGCAGTTAAAAAGAATACAATGCAATACGTGAAATATATATAAAAAATATTTAAATTTGCTCATCTTTGCTCAAAAGAAATTTTTTCCTTTACTGTTGTTAAGTGATGGGCTTTTATTTCAATTTGTAAAAGTTGTTTCAGATTAGCTCCTTAAATATTTAACGTAAACTTTATTTGAAAATTCTACTCAAGATGACATAACGAAAAACTCATCTATAGGCAAGCAAACAGAATATTGAGCCAGATGTGACAAAACAATTGTTTATTAATAAACTTTAAAATAAATTTAATAAAACAAGCCTAATAGATAAGATATGAATACTACTCAAGAGAACAATATTTTTTGAGCAAAGCTAGAACAACTTTATTTAACTTTATATATTTAATTGTTGATGCTACATTCATGTCGTCAGAAAATTAAATTGTTAGCCGTTTCTGAATATACTGGATATATATATGTTAAAAAATCAAACAATTTTCACAAGGGATTTGATAATCAGAGCCCAAATCACAGTTACTTTGCCAAAATAACAATTGAAGAAATGTATCTACAATATATAAATTTGTAAAAAGTTCAACTTTTGTTTTTTTAATCATTATTGCTTTGCCTACTCCCTACACATAAATGCTACAACATTTTATCCCTTTTTTTGTTGTCACTTTTCTTTTCTTCTTTTTTTTTCTCTTGACATGATATGATGTAAAGTATATATTGTCCAGTCTAAATACTAGTTGTACCCTATGAATATCCGTTATGTAATTATTTATATTTAACATATATGGTCCTGTTATATACATTTTATACCCCCGAAAAATGTTTTTCAGTTCATTTGTATAACACGACTTCTCTACAAAGTTAAGTAAGTAATTATGATTCTCACTTTCCACAATAAGGAGTAAAAATTTCTATTAGTAAATCTACTTAACAATTAACTTGTGCATTCTTATTCTTTTTTTTTTCTCTTTTAAAGCATAAAACAATAAAAAATATTTAGGCACGAATGTGAAAGGTATTCCACACAAACGCAAAACCGCATTTCTGACATTTTTTAAAATGTGATTTCCTGCCGATGTGGAAGCGATTTTTTGCCTGCACCAATTGACCTTTACCATTTGCGCATGGTTCCAACAGAAAATATTTTAATAAAGATCTTTATAAACCCTTGTATTATACCTTTAAGAATCAACAATGATAATCAGTTCAGATAGAAAATAAATGTGTTAATAAAGGAAATGTTTTTGTCAGTGTGAGCATTTTTCATGTAGAATATTTTTCTTTGAATATTGACTCTGCCAATGCCCAATTTGTGTCTAAGGGGGGATAAAAGAATCAAAATCGTGACTGACGGAACTTGTGATCGATCCTGAATGAATACACTAGTCAACAGCTTAACTCCCTACATACTTTTAAGTAGATTTATTTGAAGTTTCTATGTCTTTAAACACTGGTAACAGTTTATGTAATTAATTGAAAGCTCCTAAGGCAAATTTTACCTTGTGATTGAATCAGTCATTATTATTAATTTCTAGATAAATGTGTAAATTTTCACAATTTGTCCAAGGATTTGGTGAATAATCAAACTCGGTCTTTCTTAAACAACCGATTGTTTTTTCAAAATTATAGATGACTAGACTTGCAATGTCAACTTTTTTTTTTTATCGGGAAGTCTTCTACTAGAAAAGTAATTGAAAAAGAGGAACCTTTTAATAAAACTATGAATTATATTTTTTTGTGTGATCGTCGAAAGCTGCATGGGATTTAGTCCAAAATGACAGTTCATTAAATCTACTGACCTTTCAAGCTAACATCCCCCCAATTATCCATTTATCTTAATTGCTTTTTTTTAATATTTAACACAAATTAATCAATCTGTCAGAAACATTAACGCTAATGGCTGTTAAACCATGCACAATTTAATGATAAGAACTCTAATACGGGTGAAATGTGTTGTCAGTTGTCTGATGACTTTCACTCTTTCAGAGCTTTCCTGTAAATTTTTTGTTTTAATCTTTCTGAATAAAATCAATGTGTACAACAAAAAAATCTATCACAAGAAGACAATTGGTCAAAGGAAGCCTATGATATTCGGACTTTTATCTTTCTTTTACTTTACAAAATAAATTTTTTATATATCCATCAATAATTATAGCGCATAAATAATGGGAGCATAAATAAAATGTTCACATTATACAAATTTAAATACATCTGATATTTCAAATCAACAACATTATAATGTCCTTAAATAGATTTTGCAACTGGTTTACCAAAATAGAATTCCCTTCTGCAAATTTTCTTTCTTTTCAGTGTGTAATTGCTTACACGATAACTTTTCTTTTGTATTAAATAAATTGTCAGTAGTCCTAAATAGCTAAGCGTTATTTTTCTTAAAATTTAGTATTAACCATTCAAAAAATGGACATATATGTTCTACAATAGCTTAAACACTGACTATAGAGTGTAAAATAACTTATATTTAATTCTCTATGTTAATTAAAAAATATTGATATCTATAAATATTTATATAATGATTTTTCCTTTAATATAGAAGTAAAGAGGGAAATGCTGTCTCCTTAATAAGGGTAACTATCAATATTTTAGCATCATCAAATTTTTACAGTCTTTCAATGCCCCTACCTCAAAGGTCCCTAATTAATAATTTACATGAGACCTGTTTAATTTGTTGAACGTTTATACAATCCTCTCTTTTGAATAATTTTCCCTTTTAAGAAGTAAGAGAGGTACTTATATAAAGAGAAATAGGAATAGGAAAAATAAGGTGCTTGTTTGCCTAAGCTCGCACGTCTAAAACTACTAAAAAAAAATATATCTATCGGTGATTGATTACAAAAGCAATTTAAAACTCAAATTGTACAAAAGGATTTCCTATACATCTCACAATCACACAATTTAAAAAAATATGCAAACAAATTATTATTGTACTCTCATACTCCCCTCTTCAAGGGGCAACATATTTTTTTTTTAAACAAATCTTTGTACTAATCGTTTTCAACTCTCAGAAATGCCCCAAATGCGAGCCAGGTTTATCTGCCTAACAGTGAATGGCATAGAAAGGATTGGGTTTATAACAAAACAAATAAGGTGCAGACTATTGAGTGGACCTCAGCGGTTGAAATGCAGAACCGAGGCTTGGTTTCAATTGAAAGTTGACACTCGGCTTTAAGGGATAGTCCATTTCTGAAATATCAACCATCGGCCTTCTAGGATAATTAAAAACAACATGTTAACAATGAAGGTGTGTTTTCTTTATACAAGATTACAACTTACCTGTTATCTTCTTGAAATTTAAGATTGACCCTTTCACAGCCATCTGGAGGTTCTCTTGCGAGAAATTTATTAATTCTAGGGGATGTGCCCAAAGTTCGCCCTTCCTGTTCAGGAGATGAATCCTCACTTGCACCTGCAAATGTTTATTTTAAAATATCAATAAAGTTTTTTCAATTTTCAATTTCATTTTCAGAATTTCGGTTTAACTTTTTAAGAATTTCTTCACACAGGAGCTTTTCAATTTTACAAACTGCAAAAATATCGCCAAAAATGTGGTTTCATTTTTGCCTGCCCTCCTGCCTGATTTAACTTATGATACACATTTTACCATATATTCAATAATGGGTTCTTTAACAGTCGTTGTATACTATAAATAATATTAGGACTAATTTCTCCAAACTTAAAATATGATTGTAAGAATTTCGTCAAAAAAAAACATAAAACTGAACATGACGACATGACATAACGCCCCTAACAGACCAAAACAGCAATATGCAAACAAGAATGATCAGAAACGACAAAACTGCAGGTCCTTCACCCCCTCAGAACCTCAAAAAGAAATCTTGCAATTTCCTAAAATGTTTGAAATAAAACCTTTTAATTTAGTATCTAAGTAGACTTACCATTAATGCATATTTTGAATAAACAATAAATACAGCATTTTATACCTTGGAGTTCACTCGAAGGCCTTGAATCACTCTGGTTCGTAACTGCAGAGCCCACAGGTGAACCTGAACATCGGGAAGGAGGGCCTGAAGAGACTGAAAACAACAAAATTGCATTTTTTACCCTACCTTTTACAAAGGCAAATATATTTATACCTGACGAGTGTCCACTACTTGTTGTCGTATAAGCAGGGGTCTGGGTGTTAACTGATCTAGTCTGTCGCAATAGATCTGCCACAGGAGCACGATGGCCTTCCGGTGTGTTCTCAACACCGACTTTCCTTTCGTCTTTGTCTTGTCCGATGCTCGTGCTCGACCTCAGTACAAGCCTTTCAATCTCCTGATTCAGGCCTTCGATCGAGCTCCTCATCCTGTGTCTCTGGGTGTGGCTTTCATTGCTCACACCCCCACTGCCAAGGAATGACAGTGTACACCTTTGTTCTCGATTATTTGATTCTTTTGTCCTTTGCATTCTATTATCAACAATATTGCTATAACTATTACTGTTTATGTTCTCTTCTCTGTACTTTTACCATACCTGTGTCTTATAAACTTATCAAGTTTATCTTCATTACTGCTTTCTTGGTACCTAAGGTTCTTTCTCGATTCTCCTAACCATTCATCAGTCTGAAAAATAACATTTAATTATTAAAAAGTTAATTATAAAAAAAATTATGAACTAGTTACTTGAAAAATATTTGGTTTTTAGAAATTTTTTGGTTATTGATAAATTTTGATAGCTTTTACTATATTTCTATTGAACTCTACATTAAAAAAATGCTGTAAAATGATACCTTCACGTAGTTGATTTGATCAAGTAGAACGGCAAAATGAAAATATTCAAAAATGAAAAATTTCAACTTTCAAATTTTTTTGGCAAAACCATGGCCTGCTCACAAGAAGTGCCGGTTACATGTCCAATATTTTGGAGTGTACAAACACCAAAAAAAAGTTTGGTCCAAATCGTTAACACACCAACCTGCTCATCCCCTTGTTAGTCTTACCACATTAGAGTTTAAGGATATCAGGACAATTTTTGGGCCCTGATCAATGTATGGGCATCACTAACATAAATACGACTTAAAAGGGTTCAATAAAACTAAAACATTTTCCTGATTGGCGTTATGCACCAAAAAAATTACAGAAATTTGCTACTCAAGCTGATAATTGGAGTCAAAGTCATAATTTATCTCAAAAAGTGTCACAAGCCCCTATATCTGGAAATATTGACTGACATTCTCTATTCCCAGAAAACCAGTTCCTTGGATTACCTCACTCAGGTACTTTTTGTACCTTTGTAAAATAAAGTAAAAAAAAATGCTTTGTCTTACAGCTTACAATAATCATCAACTAATCCAAATGTACTAAAACACTATGGGCAAAAAATGGCATCAGAAGGCATGAAAGACCCAAAAGACAGGCACTCTAACAGAAGGGACTAATCTCAGGTCGTACACCTAAACTAACTGAACTATCACTGACACGGTTTGACTTATTATTGGGGGTCTGTTGACAGAACGTCTTGAATCATGATTGACCACATGGTATGAGATTCGGGTATAAACAAAACTTTGATTGTTACATTTTGTATTGAGTTTTGCGAGGTGATGAACCGCAATTTAGTGGTTTCGATCAACCTGGTCTGTCATCTCACGTATGAGGCAACACAATTGTGGTTTACTGCCCTTATCTCTTTACCCCTTAAACTGTATGACATATATTTATGAGGCATAGTTGTACTTCTAATGAAGGTCCGGTATTGAATACTTAAATCTAGGAAGCAAAAAAGTACAGAGGAATTTGGTCATAGATGATGATGGGCATATACACTAATAACTTTTAGTGTATAGAAGTACTCAACTGAGTGAAGTATCAAGAAGTGATAGATGTATTCAATTTAATCTGCACTAATAATACAGGAAAAAAGACAATATCACATCAGACCCTACTGTTTGTGGCTTTTGTTTGCAGATCCATTAATGAACGTTCAATATAAACATTTTTCGATGAGTTTCACCCAACCCGATTGACTGTAGTTGTTGCTCATTGACTGCTGTTTGGAAGGTGAAAGCACTGTCGAAGTGGTGACAGCTGGTGGAAACTTTAGTGAACCACAGGTTGTCGCCAAAAGGAAAGAAATTACAGAAGATATTTTAGCAGGACGAAACTTGAAACTTAACAAGTTTCTTGGCTGCTCAATGAATTTGAAAGCACATTGAGAATGATTAGCATTAACTATCAATGACGTGTAAATTCTATAAGGATGCAGATTAAACTCCACACACCCACTGTGTGATTGTGGTTTTACTATTTTCCGAAAATGTTTTGGGGCCTACAACATAACCATAAAGTAGTGCAACCATTACAACATGGGTCAAATAATCCAATTTCTCGATAGATGTACTAAAAGTTGGTTAGAGATGGTTAGGGTTAGGGATAGTTGTGGGTTATAGATCTTAAAAGGCACAATATAGTAATCCTAAATTTATTGGGATGAATTACTGAATGAAAATGAAATTCTTTTTGAACAAGTAGTTTTGCGGTTCTCGGTATTTTATACCTTTGTTAACTGTCTATTATGGTAGAAGTATTATCTATTTTCTTGTAAGTATGGGGTTCTCGGGTCGTTTATTATGTTCTTGTTTTATTTTCGACGCTACGTTTTAATTGAGTAAATATAAGGTTTTGGTTGGGATAAAAAATTCAGTGTCACAAGCGGGATTCGAACCCACGACCTTCGCCTAAATAAGCTGCTGCTCTACCACTTGAGCTATGTGACTTCGATCCACTCGGACACTAACTTCCCATCTCAACAACACATTTTGAATTTTCCCTCCTTTTTGCCATTTTTTCAAATGTCGTGTAATCTATTGGATTCTCGGCGACAAATGAAATAGCCATGGAGAGCTTTAGTGAAGTATACTTCATTTTGCTTATTACATTTTGTTCGCTTGACCAAATGTTTTGGTAGACATTTGAAAAAAAATGGCAAAAAGGAGGCAAATTCAAAAGGTGGGGTTGAGATGGGAAGTGTCCGAGTGGATCGAAGTCACGATAGCTCAAGTGGTACAGCAGCAGCGTATTTAGCCAAAGGTCGTGGGTTCAAATCCTGCTTGTGACACTGAATTTTTTATTTCAACCAAAACCTTAATAAATTGAAAAGAATTTATTTGGTCAAGCGAACCACGAAACCTAATAAAATATACATAAGTTTTATCATGTCGGTTGTGCCGTTCGTAATTTCTAGTTTAAAATATAAAAAAGCGGACCGAAAAAATAACTGATCGGAAAAATCAGAACAAAAAGAAAAATTATTCTACAAATAAATCAAAGACACCGACAGATGAAAGGCTAGCCATTGAAATGCGTCTTACAGACAAAACCAGGGCGATCGGAGACGATTGTTTAATTATCGTTAAGCTTCGCCATCTCACAAACATCACAATGTTTCACAGTATAATTGAGCTTCTTATTATCGAGGACAAAGTCGTGAAATTTTGAATCAGCCAACTTTATGAACTATTCAAATTAGGGAAAACAATTATCAATTTTATGCGAAGTAGTTCATTACTAATTTCAATGGGACAATTATATCTAATTACCTATCACACAAGTCTGAATCAATGGATAAGGGAAAACATGTTTATTTAGCTTGGGTTGTTTCCGAACATTATGGTCTTTTTTGCCGTTTTCAGTGGTTGGTTTGGCGAAGTGTATCACCCTGCTTATAACAGGACCATCACTGAAGATGGCAAGAAGCCGAAACGATCCTGACATACCAAAACAGAGAGAATAGACATGCACACAAATGATCACGAACTACGGCTAATAATCCGCAGAAACAACAAATGTTTACTTCGAAATCTTCCTAATGAAGAAAAACAGAACAAGAGGTCGCATTGATCAAATTAGCAGGTGGTGCGAGAATATAGGCCTGCTGTCAACCCGAACAAAACCACACTAACACATTTCACAAAGAGAAGGAAGTTTAATTTAAAAGCACCCCATTTAAAAAATAACCCTAAATAAAGTATAAATACAAAAATAACCCTACTGGCTATATACAAGGAGCCCTTCGTGGCCAAAACCTTAAAAAAACACGTTTCAATTGAAATATTACTAAGATTGGCATGCCTTAGCACAGTGGCAATGCATACATCCAGATGATACATTTCAAAGTGCAGACTCTTAGGACAAAATAAAATAAAACCGGACATAATAGAAGGTGCACCATAAAATCTAAAATAGTCAAAATAAATGAGATGGCTACAAAAACGTCTGACAAATTGAAACATTGCGAGATGTTTGAGAGAATAAAACCCCCGAAACTAAGAGGGGCCTTATTGTGGTATACAGCCGGATCAAATATGGAGTGGGCAGGGGTCAAGAACCAAATTTTGACCTAGCTAAATCTCTAGGGCACACGACATCAATTTTCCAAATTAAGATCCATGCAATAGAACTCTGTATATAGGAAATACTTAAAAAAGAAATAAAAGGCGTCAGATATTCATCTTCTCTGACCGCTACGCAGCACTGAAGGCCTTAGACTCCTTCATTTCCAGCTCCTGGAAAATTGCGTAGGACACGAGAGTATTAAAGGCAACAAACTTGCGAACTAGCTAAAAGCAGCCCTTACACCCTTTGTACCGGAACGAAAATTGTCACCAAATCATACTAAAAACGGAACTGAACAAATGGATGGAAAAAGAAATGCCTACATACTGGATGTATTCACCAGGTGCGAAACAATTAAAGAAGTTCCTCCACATCTCATCCAAGAAAACAAAAATCTACCTCTATCTCAGTAGGCAGGAATTATGTAAAATAATAGACCTTTAGACTGGCAGTTAATTCCAAAAAAAGATCTTTTAGGTCGCAGTGAAAGCAAAAGATTTTGATCACCTCCAAGAATATACACTGACTGGCAAAAAATTCTATCCAATTTATTCATTTTCCTTTATAAAAGAAATTCTGCTCTTAATTTGTCGTTTTTACCAATAAATATTTGTTTATGCTATGTTTTAAGTTGGGAATATCAATTAGAAGTAAACACACTTAATCCTTAATCCAAACCCAAGGATGAAGGATTTTTTAATGTTTACTTTTTACGGAATTTAAAATGTTTATTCAGTCACATTTGAAATCTGAAGCAATAAACTGTTTAGTTTTCATCTTTGCTTTCTTAATTTCAATTTTTAAACTTAAAAATGCCACTTAGTGCTGAGGATGTTGCGTGTGGTGTGGCACTTATTGATGACGGACGTTCCGTCACGTATGCAGCCATTGCCATCGGAGTTACCTACCGAACACTGCGAGACACCGTTATAAGTTTTCGAGAAGCTGGGTCCTACCATAGAAGGCCCGATTCTTGACAACCTGGGGTAACCACAGGATGGTCGTTTTTTGATTGTGAGAATTTACGAAACCGGCACCTTACAGTTGTTCAAGCTCCAGGAAGTTCGAGGTGTCCAAATTTCTGAACGGCTTGAAGAAGATTAAATCAGTATGGACTGATGGCTTTTCGCCTCGTAAGAGGACCAGAATAGACCAGAACACACAAGTTGCACGGCTCGCATTTCCTCGAAAACACAGCCATTGGTCTTTGAACCATTGGTCTGCTGTAC